TTGTGTGTGTCTGTGTTATTGTGTGAGCGTGCCTTGTTGCTTCTGCCAGGCCGGCCAGCTGGCTCACACCAAAACACAACCTGGATGTGTTTGTTAGCTGTTGATGGCCATCTGTGTGTTTGATTTATTCTGTAATATAGATTCATGACATATGGTCCCGTTTCAAACACCCAATGTCAACATAGTTCCCCTTTTTTAATGATTTGACATCAGGGTTAGGCGTTAGGAAAACACTTTTACAAGAAAGACTTTTCACGAGTGGAAAAGTTGTTTTGAAATTGTTTCTGAATCTTATCAAGCCTCTTTGGTTTTTAAGCCATATTCTAAATACCAATGCAGTGTCCTTCACATGGTGCTAACAGTCATTGAGGATGAAGGGCAAGTCTTTGGAAGTTTGGATTCACAAAAGTATAAAACTAAAGGTCAAACCTGATGTTTTCTCAAACTTCAACTGGCTCACAGTCATATATTTCCAACAGTTTTGCTGGATTGTGCTGCTTTATTTGCCTTCTTGTATGTTCATCCAAAGCCTTTTTGTGGCATTTCAAAGCAGCCTCAGTCGGTTTGGATTTGAGACCAAAAAACATGTTCTACATATCCACAAGGATATTCCACAAGGAAATTCATTTTGACTTTCCAACAGTATGAAATATTAATTTCTATATCTGTATTTTGGGGTTCTGTCTGTACTGTATGCTGGAGACTGAGCTTTAGTTCACATATCCTGAAGGAAAGCAATCTCTGGTCTAATGGTTCACTGTTAACCTCAAATATTGCCTGTTCTCTCTGTCTCTGCAGATTCTTCCTTAAGTTTTTCCTCAAGTGCAACCAGAACTGTCTAAAGAATGCAGGAAACCCACGAGACATGAGGAGGTTCCAGGTAAGCGACTCACCTAAGAGTCCGACAGGTGACCCCCGCTGTAACTGACCCCCGCTGTGACTGACCCCCGCTGTAACTGACCCCCGCTGTGTTTGTGTGTGCAGGTCGTCGTCTCCACTACGGTCAACGTGGACGGTCACGTGCTGGCGGTGTCAGACAACATGTTCGTCCACAACAACTCCAAACATGGCCGCCGTGCCCGACGTCTGGACCCCTCTGAAGGTTAGACGTCGCTCAGAGACGAGAAATATAAAACCTACCACAACCATTTCCACTGGGGCAGTCTGAGGGCCGGTTCGGGGCCGGGGCCTTGTGGCCAGCTGGCTGTGGATTTATTAGCTGTTTAACACGTTGATGTTACAAACGTAGCATTGGGCTAGCTGGCTATCTAGCTGGCTGTTGGTCAATTAACTTTATTCCAACATTACACGAACATAATGTCTCACATTGCTTTAGTTAACTGACCGACAGCTAGCGTAACCATGGTAACAGTAGCTAACACTGGAGTCGCATTCAGTGACGTAAGTCGAGATTAGTTAATTTAACTAAAAAAAACGTTCAAACAAAAAAAAATTCTTGCTTTTGTCATTTCAAAAAATACCTTAAAAGTACTACTCAGTAAAAGAATATTTAGTGTCACTTGAAGTTACGAGTAAAAGCTGCTTCATTAAGAATCTTTTTGAACTTTCGATGTGATCAGTTTCAATAATTTGTTTTAAAGTAGTTACAAACATTTCCTGTATTATTTGTGTCCATCACTTGAATCTGAGCCGCAGTGATTTCCTGACGTCCAAAAACATTGAATCCTACATTTCCCATAATGCACCTGACAAATTGTCTTTAATAAACAGAGGAACAATAACAGGAAACGAGATGAATCTAAAATAAAAGCTGCTCCGCTCTCTACTGGAGGGAAGTTGTCATATTTTGGGGGCGTTTGATTTATAATATTTGCTAAAACAAATGAACAAACTGAATGTGACAAAAACAAAGTGAATCGGAGTGAAACAGGGACGGCAGGTCTGTATGAAAGCAGCTGCTGGCAGGTCCCCGTCCTGCCCCGTGTTCCTGTTACTCTCCCGAGGACGGCGAACAAACGCTTCGTTCTTCCACCGCTCCACAGCGACCAAATAAAATGCATCATTCGCGTATAAACTTCACACGATGAAACTCGACTCGGAGAGCTGGAGCTCAGCGGCGACATTTCCTCTGAAGTTGTAAACTTTAATACCTCGTTGCCCTGTCCCCACTGTAATAAAACCCTCCCGCCTCAGCGCGCCGCTTCCAGGAGCGATGACATAAGTCTCTCGCTTGATTCGGCCTACGTGGAGTGCCAGATGGGCGGAGCTTAAACATACCAGTACCAGCTTTTTCAGACAGCATCAGTAAGGATGGAGGTCACAAGGAAGTGACTTACTTACTTAATATTCTTCATCTAAACCCAGCACTCAGTGTGGAAAGCCCCACCCGTCTGGCCCCTACAGGAGAATAAAACAAACTATATTTACTAAAACTATTTGATACCAATCAAGCATAAACAGATCAATATATCCACTCTCTAACTCTCCAAACCACGTCCTCTGCAGGTTTCTCCACTTTATTTGCTTTAAAGTTTGAGGCTTATTCTGAAGTTTGTTTTGTGCTACTCTGAACACCAGATGGGTGGAGTTTATGATATAAAGGCATTAGAAAGTCTCAGCTGAGATGTCAGCTACTGAAAGTGAAACTGACTCTCAAATGTGTCTGAAACACTCATCACTTATTGTGCCGTTCTTTCTGATAAACTCCACCTGTCTGGCACCTTCAGAAAGTTAAAACAAACCATAAAAGTAGTTTTTAAATCTGACATCAAGAAGCCAACAAACCCTCTAACGGCGGTTTCCCTCATCTCAGTTAAAAGTTTGAAGCATTTCCAGGAGAGATGGTGTAACTGATGGTGTTACATCATGGTGTAACTGCTTCGCTTGTTTTAACCTACTTGTAATGCCAGATGGGTGGAGCTTACCACAGCAGGACGTTTGAAACCATCAGGTCAAACTGAAAGTGACATAAAAGAGGCTTTCACTTAAATGTTCTTTCGTCTAAACTTCACGGCAATTCTCATTTATCGTGTGAGGTAAACTCAACCCACCTGAGACACACAGTAGAATAAAACAAGCCCTGAATCATTTTGTCACAAGTCCCCTCCCACTCTCACATCCCAAACCTCCGCAGTCTCCCTCAACTTGTTTTAAAGTTTTGAGGTTTTTCCAGAAGAGATGATGCAACTTGTGTGCTTGTTTTAGTCTCCTGGGAACACCAGACGGGCGGGTCTTACAATACCAGAGCATCAGAGTATCAGGTTAAACTTTTAGTTGCAGCAAAGTAAGAATAAACTCACTATTGTACATTTCTGTCTGTCGTGATGCTCTTTTAGTCTTATGAGGCAAACCCCACCCTTCTGGGAAGTACAAGAGAGTGAAACAAAACATACAAAAAATTTCCACCAGTCAGATTTTAAAAAGCCATCGTGTCCTCCTTGTTTCACCTCCCAACCGACCACCGCTGCAGTTTCCCTCCACTTGTTTTAAAGTTTGAGGCTTTTCCAGGAGAGATGGTGTAACTCTCTTGTTTTAACCTGCTGGGTACCCCAGACGGGTGGGATCACCATATTCGGGCATTCAGTGAAATCTTAGTGTTCAAAAAGTAGAGTAAACCAACCGAAACCTTCCCACCCCTCTGGGACGTCGAAGAGAGTAAAACAAACCCTTCAATTTCAGACTCTTTGTCCCTCTTTCACATCCCAAACTGCCAGCTTCACTAAACTTTAAAGTTGAGGTTCTTCCAGGAGATGCTGCAACGTGTGCACTTGTTTTAATCTCCTGGGTACACCAGACGGACGGGTCTTACAATATCAGAGCATCAGAAAGTATCAGGTAAAACTTTCAGTCAATGAAAAGTAAGATTAACCTGACATTCATCTGTCTTCTAAACATTTACTCTTATGAGGTAAACCCCACCCTTCTGGGACATACAAGAGAGTGAAACAAACCCTACAACCATTTGCCCCCACTCCTGCGTCCTTCCCGTTTCACCTCCCAAACGACTACCTCTGCAGTTTCCCTCGACTTGTTTTAAAGTTTTGAGGCTTTTCCAGGAGCGGATGATGTAACTGTCTCGTTTGGTTTAACCTACTTGCAGCACCAGGCGGGTGGTGTTTATCACACCGGGGGCGTTTCAGACAGGATAAGGTTGTTGATCAAAGAAACAGCCGAGTAAGCTGACCTCCTGTGATTGCTAAAACTTTGTGCACTCTTACTCCGCTGTTTGTGCGGCAAACCCCACCTGTCTGGCACGTCCAAAGGGATAAAACAAACGACACCGATATGTCATTCAAGCTGAGATGTTCTTATTTCTCACCTGCGATGGTTCCCAGAGACTCTGAGGAAACTTAATCAGCACTTAAACATTCAGTTTCCACTCAGAGGGCGCAGGGCGTACTGTACGGAGTCCTGCAGGGGCCAAAAGGGGCCTGTTGTTTACCAGACGGCCCTGTATCTCAGCCCACAGAGGGAAGCTCGGTGCCTTTCATCTCCTCCAGACTGGGATGTTTTCAGAGCCGATAAAAAGCCCCAACATCTGCTCCCGCCTTTGTCCCCAACCCTCAACCCCCCTCCGTCTCCTCGATAAAACTTTCCGCCGCCTGCTCCTCGCCTTTGTGCTCTATTCATTTCATTGGAAAGTCCCCAACCAATGCCGCCGCCCCTCAGACCCATCGCGCTGTTTGTTTACTGCTGTGACAAAAGAGGGAAATTAATAAGGAGATGACAATCGAGTCCTCGGAGCGGGAACATCCTCGACCCTCCGCTGCTGCTGCTGCTGTCGGGTCGACGGATTTTCTTTCATCTGGAAACTCTGAGTGACTTTGAAAAGTTGGTGCTGTAACCAGCGGGTTCCCGACCCGAACGTCTCTCTACAACTACAACTACAACTCCCGAATGAACGATGTGTTTAAACTTTGTTGATTAAGACTTTTTAAAAATGGTCTGTCGTCTTCTGGATCGAGTTTTGATTAGGACCCAAAAAGTCAGAACGAAATTTAAAGCGCTTAATATAAATAAATAATTTAAATATTACAAGCTTAAATAAATGACACTGTTTACATAATAATGCAAATTATTATCAAAACTAATAAATTATTAGTTTACTCTTTAATCACAGCTGCATTCATTATTAATAAAATATTAAATATGATTTAAAAAATATATTTTCTACGGCTGCAGTTTTGGCCCTGAACCCTGTGGGTCGTGTCGGGTCCATTCGGTTTCGGGCTGAGAATAACAACATTGATGTAATGTGAAATTACGTTTAATGTTCGAAAGTATCTTTTATTCCTGAATGTTTTTATATTTTTATTATTATCTAATCCTGACAAGAATTGAACTGAATTAATTTAAAAATGCACCACCGATGCTCTTTGTCCAGTTCAAATATTGGTTCCAAATATCGTCTCCTTGATAACTAATAGTTAATATCTACGTCAGTCCTGAAGAAAACCGTATCTATTCCTGCTTTATACTTTTTGACCCACTGAAGTCATAAATAAAAATTATAAAAGTATCATTAAGAGCGTATATCTTAAGCACGCTCTCCTGGTTTTCCTTTCCATTGGCTTGCAGTGCCGGTAACTTCCAGTGAGAGAACATTACTCCACTAATAGTGTTGAAATTTGTAACAGGAATGTTTAATAGAGTCTCTGAACAAACACTTTATGGATCAGATCACGTACTAAACAAAAGCAAACTCAGAGCTCTGACTGGAACATCAAATCATCCTCCCAATAAAACGGCTCTCGGTCCGGGAAAAGGTTATAAACCTGCGGAGCCTCGTCTTGTTTCCTTGCTGCTCTTGAGTCCGTCCGCCTGTCTGACTCGTCCGGGCGGCAGTCTAGTCAACACGGAGACGCTGTTTATGTGGAGCCCCTTATTGATCTCTGTGATGGTGGAAAAACCAATCATTTTGCATGTATTAGTGGCGGACTAACAGGCTGCTGGTAGATCAGTCCTGTGTGACTGGAAACTGTTCAATAATTAGCTGCAGTTGTGTTAAAGATTTGTCAGTTCTGAAACTCTAAAGTCGTGTTTAGGGTGGTCGGAGGTCAGAAGTCAGAGGTCAGAAGTAAAGCAGTCAATGTTTTGTCTTCCTCTTTCCTTAAACAATAAAACAAAACAAATATTTATAAAAGATAAAATTATCACTCTTTTAAATAATCTTTTAGCTTCTCTTCATCTTCACACTCCTCCAGGTGACAAAGTGCTAATTACAAGCTTTGCTGCTAAAACGGCATTTTATTTATTTTCTGCAGCATGAAACTGCTCTTTAGTGGAAACAGGAAGTAGATCAATTAAAGGTGTCGATCTGAATCTTGACGGAAGATTTAATTCAACAAACCAGAACCAAACTGTTCTGAAACATTAGCTACTCTAAAGTAAACTGTTTAACTGTAAAAATAAATCACCTTGATTCAGTCGTTTTAGCTCTCTTTAGCACTCTAGCTAACCTGAAACTGTTCAAACTGTTAGCTGAACCTGAAACGAACTGAGTGAACTGAACCATTAGCCCTAACCCTAAACCAAATCAAAGTGTTTTAGCTTCTAAACTGTTAATATCTAAAAATCAGTTTGTGCTGCTGAACTGAATCATTTGCTAACAATAACTGTTGAACTGTTAGCTAATCTCTACGAATCTCTTTCAGTTAATGAACTGAAATCTTAATTTACCAAGACTGTTTTTGCTGCTAAACGTTAGTTAAACTGAACTGAATTAATAGCTAACCTAAATAACTAAAAGTTGAACTTGAATCAAACACTTTATTGAGTTGTTTGCTAATCGTTTGGATTTATGTGTGATAATGATGTAACGTCTGTTTGTTGTCTTTTAATGGTGGAAATATCTGTTTGTTTCTGTTCCTGTGAGATTATTTTCAGTGATTTTGTTCGGTGGCTGTTTCTAACTGTATCGCTCATGTTGCTGTTGTGTCGCTGTGTTTCCGAAGCAGCCACGCCCTGCATCAAAGCCATCAGCCCGAGCGAGGGCTGGACGACCGGCGGCGCCACCGTCATCCTCATCGGGGACAACTTCTTCGACGGTCTGCAGGTCGTCTTCGGCACCATGCTGGTGTGGAGCGAGGTGAGAGGACGTGAACCTTACTGCTGTGATCTTAAACCCTGGAATAGTTTGGAAAAGTTGAATTAATTTGTAATGGTAGAAAGAAATCTGTGTTGCGATGTTTGCATTTAATTTATCAGATGAAACAGAAACAGCAATTTCCAGGAAAACAATTTCTGGCACAGCGGCTGTGCAGCTGCACGTACTGAGGCCTTCATCATGTTCTCCATCTTCTTCGTCTGCACACACTCATCGACACACACATCCGTAGAAACACCTGCATCTGTATCTGCAGCTCCACCAGGTCTGCATGCCCCCAAAAATATGTAGATTTAGTGCGCGTTGAGGTGCGGGAGGAGCCGCGCATACGGTGCGCCATGAAATATTGAAGCAGGTCCAGAAGAGCAGAACACCTGGTGGGGAAGGAGGGAAGGAGGCGTGAGGCAGACAGATATATACCTCCACACGCTGTTCGCTTCACATCACACGCCGCTGACGGAGCTCCTCGCTTTGATCAGCGTCGTCTGGCGGCGAGCAGACGGACTCCAAAGCCCAGCATCCCTCTGAACACAGACTGCACGCTGACCCAGATTGGAGGAAGACGGTCTGACTGTTTTCCACAGAAAGTTTGTTAACGGAGAGAAAAATCTGCAGGCTTTCAATTCGCTGGAAATAAAAATGTTCCACAACGAGACGCCATAAATCTGCAGAGGAAGTGAAGAAGGTTGAAATAAATATTAAAAAGAGTTGAGGTTTTTTATTGAAGAGCTGAAAGCAACTGATGTGTGGAGGTGTACGAGAACTTTAAAAAACTAAAGCACACAGTTGTTTTTAGAGTGTATATTATTATTATTTTATTATTATTATTATTATTGATCGCAGTGTACAGAGCTTCAGTCTCTGATCAACAGCCTCGTCCTGCATCAGAAAGCAATCAGCTGATAGATCAATGAGAATAAACAGAGAATCTGAATATTAAGTCTGATTGTTCAAATGATAAAAATACAGAATACAGACAGAATTCTTAAATTTTTTAAATATTTTATTTTCTTTAATTGATAATGACAGCTAAAGATAAACCGGGAACTGAAACAACGCTGGACATCAGCCGGTGTCCGTTGGTCCGCTCCGGTTCTGTGGCTCATTCGGGCCCCGCTCTGGTTCTGCTCCTACGTTAGCAGTGTTTGAACTCCCCCAGTCCTTCCAGCTCTCAGTCCGGGT